TGAACAGAATAAGAGAGGGTGATGTCAAGAGGGGCAGAGAAAAGTAATCTTTGGATTCTTCTGAAAGAACACAAAAGGGGCAAAACATAATCTGTGAATATCAGAAAAAGGACTATCAGAGTTAACTGTAGCATAAAATAAGGATGGCTTGGACAACCATTTTAGCTAAGTGGTTGAAATAAGAGCGTCATCATATAGAAGTCCTCATGCAGAAGAAGCAAGCACCGCTGAGCTAATCACCACCTGCATGCAAGGCCCAAGAACCCTACCTGAAGAGGACATCAGCTTTCTGGCTTGAATAATGGAAAAGACTTACATCCCATAGGCTTGAAAAAGAAAGTGGATTACTGATGAACAGTTGTGCAGAAACACTGATATAACCATCTCAGTGATTAATAACTATGTTTACACAGAGTTATAGTGATTTATACAATCTTCTTAGCCATCTTCAGAGTGAGCTTGAAGCGATGGTTCTAGAGCAACAGGAAAAGTTTAGAGGAGAGATTCAATCTTTATATGGGACAGGAGAAGATTGTCTAGAGCAGCAACGTAATTTTTCAAAGCTAACACAAACCAGATGTCTGTGACTTACTTAGCATGTGAAACCTCTGGATTTTTTATATGCTAATACGCTACAAGTAAGGTGGCATAAAAATGGCTGTATGCAGTGCTCAACCAGATACATTGTTCTGAATTAGAAATGAAAGAAAAGAACAGGGAGCTGACATGGTGAACAAGACCATGGGCGTAGGTTAGTTGTTTGTTTGGGGTGTTGGTTTTGTTTTGCTAGAACAAAGACTGCTGCTCTGCTCTCCAGCAGTTCTCTGAATACCAGGCAGTCAGGATTTGCTCTGAACAAAAACGGATCTCAGTGGCTTGTTTAGGCAGGAAAAATAATATTGAGGAAAAGACTTAAAGATTTACACAATCGTCTGCTGATGAGTTTCTCACATCAGGACAATAATTTCTGGTCCGGTATGACACATAAGACATTTTACAGGCGTACACATTAGCAACACATTTGTCTATCAGTATCTAAACATAAGAAGTCTGAAAAAACCAGATAACATTCAACTGGTTACCACAGTATACTGATTTAAAACTTCTGTTGAGACTAAGAATCCAAAAATCTACTGCTCTGGTTCAGAAATTTGAAGCAAAAAGAAAAATTCAAATTTGGACAAAGAACCTTACATAGTTTTTACCTTTTGTTTCAGAGAGACTTGTTACAAGTAATACACTCCATTTATGAAAAATAAATGAATTTAAACACTAAGCATCTTGCT